CCAGGGACGCAGCCCTGCCGCTCCTTCAACATTTAATTATTCATGTTTCAGTGAGAATTACTTTTATCGATGTCAAAGAAACAGCAGCTGGCAATTAATTTCAGGTGATTGGCCCACCAGAAAACAAATCCTCGGTGGAAGAATCTCAGACAGGGAAGGTCCCAAGAGCCTTGGCACCAGAATTCTTCTTGCTGCTCCTGTGACTTTATGTGTTTGCTACAGGGATTTTTCTCTGTTTTTTGGCATGGTGTGAATGGACTTCAGAAGATCCCCATTGCCCTTAATGCAGTAAGATCATCTCTTGGAAATATTCCATTTTACTCTGCAGTTTTGCCTGTGGATTATTATGAAGATGATTTAGTCCTAAACTACAATGTTTAACCAATGCTATGATTTTATACAATAATAGTGTTAGTTTAAATATGATTTTGATGATTGAGGGTTGTTAATAAATATAGCAAGAAATTCACATAGATAAAGCTAAGATAAATACCGTCCCTGCCTCTGATATAGCAGAGACTGCAAAAAAAATAAAAAAATAAATAAAAAAAAAAAAACAAGGCAGAATCACACAGCTAGAATATAAGAGTTTCTACTGAGAAGACATATTATAGGCTGTACTTTAGGATAATGATTTAAAAAACAAACAACAACTGAGTCCCAGTATCCCAGCTTAAATTCTTTTAATATTAGTGTTGGGAAAAGTATTCACAGTGAATCATAGCTGAAGCAAAACTGGAGGCCTTCATTCTCCTGGAAAGACAAAAACAAAACTCTTCCCCAACCAATCTAGTTTCCCTTTTGCAAGTTGTATCTCATAAAATAATAAACATTTGTTCATTGTTCAAATTAGTTTAGATTGAATGGTCTTGATCTTGATGAACTGTTGCCTCTTTTAGTGAAGAGCTCTCTCTTGTTTGAATACAATATTTATCAGTTTTGAAGCTATCCATAACTTTTCTCCTATGGAAGCAAAGCAAAATTTTTTTTAACAATGTAACACATATCTTGGTTTCCATAATGAGGCCAACACATTGTTAAACTATACAGGCTAATTTAATTCAGTAGTATGTTCTATTGTCCAATGTCTCTTTGCAGTTGTTGTTCCTATATCATTTACATTTTTTTTAAAAAAAACTAAAGTTAATAAAGCATTGTGCAGTTTGTATCTTGTGGTCTTTATTACCTGTTTCTGTTTATTAAGCATATCTTTTAGAATTTGATTAGATCTTTCTATAATTGTTTGCCCTATACGATTGAGTGCTATACTTGTAAGATGCTGTATATTGTAATATGCAAAAACCTTTAATTTTACTAGAGACATATGCCAAAGCATTTTCAGTATTAATTTATATAGGTATACCCATGATGGCTATAACTTCTAACAAATGTGTGATTGACCAATAGCTGTAAGAATGCAGTTAGGTGGAAAAGCCTAATTGAGAATGATGTAATGAAGAAGGGTAGAGTTGGAAGATTTGCTGACAGACACAAGAGGGAGCAGGAGATGAACGTTAGTAAAGGTGCCACTATATGTCAGAGAGTAAATAAGGAACATGGGCTAACTTAAAATGTAAAAACTGTTTAGTAACTAGTCTGATAATATAGTACAGAGTATTGATTTGGAAGTGGCTCAGGACAGACAAACTACCAACTACATTGGTAATTAAAAATTTCATGTCGATATTGAAAAGTCATATTAATTGTGAAATAATATTTCATATATGTAGAAATAATTTCATTGAAATCTGATGAGTAAATCACCCTTTCTTTATATTATTCCAAATTGTATTCTGTTTGTCCTTAGCAAAATATGTTTTACATATAGTATTTGAAAAATTTCAAATATATAAACATATTTAATTGTAAATTATAAACTTATAATAAATTTTTGTGGTCTGTAATTAGAAACTTGAACCTTATTACACTTTTAATAGAGTAAACAAAACTTTATAAATTATAGTAATATACAAGACTTCTAAATTAACTATGTTCTCATCTTGATTCAGTTAGGCAAGCAAGGGTATTATTAAATGGAAAAGTGCAGTTACCAACTTGATTTTTTTTCTACACACAGAGATAATGCACTATCTTGACTAAATTGAATTCGAGGTCTGTGAATCTGCAAGTTAATTCAGTAAGTTCACATGAAAAGCAGCATACTTGTTAACACTATGCAAATTCAGAGCAAGTAAAAAAATAGCTTGAATTTCTTATTCAGCTTAAAATGCTTAATAGTCACATAATAATGAATAGTAATACACGTAGAAGTATTCTGCCTAAATTTTGGTGCAGTCTTTAGGAAAATAATACTATTAAAGTTATCAATGATCCTTTATAAATGGAAGAAAACTCTAAAATATGAACCAATTCATAATGTAAAATGTTAACGAGATTGCACTAAGGTTACTCTGACTTCTGAATTTAAATTGCTAACCTACTGCATTGTTCTTAGACATTTCAACAAGTGTGAATTTAGATGGAAAAATAATAGTCTTGGAACTCTGAATGCTTCTTAAACTTGACTGACCCACATTCTCCTTTCAGTTGGTGAAAATTATTTCCTTACTGAATTTTCTTTCAGAAATTACAGTTTTTATTATTACACTGTAGTTCCTGAAAACATTTTAGGTCTGCATTTGGTATCCGTTCTTCTAGTAGAGACTGCTACCAGAAATATATCAGGATTGTGTTGGCAAAAAATGACACTAAGATTAATTTTATTTTATATAGTCATCTCACTTCCTTCTGTTTAAATCCATGTTCCACAATAGAAACACTTACTGGACATTGAATTTCCACAAAAGAGCAACCAGTAATAACTCCTTGGACTTCCCACAGGGCAGGGATCCCTGATTGCTCTTTGGGCTGACGAGGGAGGGGGACTTGATTCGGGGAGGGGGAGAGAAATGGGAGGCGGTGGTGTGGAAAAGACAAAAATCTTTAATAAATAAATTTAATAAATAAATAAAAGAAACAAAACAAAAGGAGAAAAAAATAACTCCATGTTATGAGAAAGATTGAATTTGTACTGCATGTGTTTTTCTGATCATATTGAGATTGTCAACACTGTACTATTTATTTAACCTACATGTACATTTGTTCCTGAACTAGGAGAAATTTTAAGTTCAATTTGATTTTGAGGGGGTTTTAGATGGTTCCATTCTCAACAGTATTCCTTATTCCTATCTTGTTTCTTTGCTGAAATTTTTAAACATTATTTGGCACACCAGGTAGAGTAAAACATAGAGAATTATGTAAATCAACAATGATTTAGTTAAACAAAGTGATAGGTTATTATTTAGTCATTTTAAAAGTACTACGTGACCTTCATATAAAAGAGTCTCCTTGACTTCTATGACATATTAAAGGGTTTAGTGATTATTTAGAAGTAGGTGGGACAACATTAAAGCCCTTGGGATTATATGGAATAAAGAAAGCATAGTTAGAAATGTAGTTTATGAAGAAAAATTCAATCTCTAGTGTAGTGGACTTCTTTAGAAGTCTGGAGAGTATAGTGGACATTAAAGGATGTTAGCATAAAAAAATTGAATGGTCAATTATATTGGTTAAAATGTAATTTATATACACTAAATTTAAGTACTCAAATGTCTCTTTTTCTTTTGTGCGATTTCAAGTATTATACTTTTACTAGACTATAAGTTTGTTTTCACAGGAAAAAGCTTTTTCTTAATATGTCAATTTGAAACTAGACTCATGAAAAAGAATCAATGTCTGTAAAATACTTATAATGCATAGATGTGGAATAATGCAAATTTTGCTTCTGGATTTTTGAAAATAAATGCATAGGTGGAAAATTTCTAAATAATCTTATATACTAAAGGGTGGAGCAAGAAGGATACATTGAAATTAAATGATACCTATACAAACACTGGCTACATTTTGCACATCTGAACTTTATCATGTTTCATAATATTATATGAAACTTTTATAATCCAGTTATTTGGTAAATGACAAACACATACATATGTATGTAATGTCTTGTAGTCTTCTCTGTCCTTGACTCCAAGGTCTTTCCATCTCCTCTTTGTTATATTCCCTGAGCCTTGGGAAGAGGAGTTGTGTTATAAGAAGTCTCATTTAGGGATAATCATCCTTCAGATTCTTACAGATTCTCACTTTATGCTCTGATAAGCTGTAGGTCTTTGTGCTTATTTTCATCTAATGCAAAAGATACTTCACTGATAAATGTTTATGTACACCAATTTAGGAGTATAATAATAAGCATTAGGAGTCAATGTAGTACAGAATTTATTTAGCATAGTAATTGAAATTCCCTAGGTCCTATTACCTGTTAAGATAGAGGTTTTGGCCCTAAGAAAGGTGCAATGTATGGGTTTTAACTTGTGGATAGGCTTAAAATAAAATTAGAAAACATTAGTTATATTTGAAAAATGAAAGAATAATAAATGAAACAGCCTTGTAATAGTAATAATTTGATTCATATTTACAATATAAACAAAGTCATATCATTTTTCATTATGTAACATGCTAAATGTTTTGTCACATAGGAATTTTCACAATGTAAATAATAGAATGTAGCTAGTTATATACATTTGAATCTATTTTAGAGAAACATAAGTGGATTATTATACTTGGATAATGTTAAGAATTAACATATTTTTAGAACATATTACATATTTTTCTTAATTTTGAAATATGAATTATTTGTAAACAGGATCTTTTCTTACTTTTTCATCAGTCCTATTAAATTTTCATGAGTTTTGGTGAGCTCCGATTATATCAGCCCGACCGTTTCAGTGGGTGGGTGCACCCCTCGTGGTCCTAACTTCCTTGCTCATGTTCTCCCTCCTTCTGCTCATCATTTGTACCTTAGGAGCTCAGTCCAATGTGGGTCTCTGTCTCTAGCTTCATCCATCGCCAGATGAAGTATCTATGGTGATATGCAAGATATTCATCATTATGGCTATAGGATCGGGCCATTTTAGGCTCCCTCTCCTCAGCTGCCCAAGGATCTAGCTGGGGACATCTCCATGGACACCTGGGAACACCTCTAGAGTCACCAAGGGCAGCTGGATGATAGAGCATGTGATCAAACCGGACTCCCTGAACGTGGCTGACAAGGAGGGCTGACTGAGAAGCCAAGGACAATGGCACTGGTTTTTGATCCTACTGCATGTAATGACTTTGTGGGAGCCTAGTCTTTTTGGATGCTCACCTTCCTCCTAGTCCTGGATGGAGGGGGGACCTTGGACTTCCCACAGGGCAGGGAACCCTGACTGCTCTTTGGACTGGAGAGGGAGAGGAAGGGGGTGGGGGGAGCGGGAGGGAAATAGGAGGAGGTGGAATTTTTTAATTAAATAATAAAAATAAATAAATAATTTCATGAGTTTCTTTCA